TGGATATACCATAATTCATTTACCCACTCATCTGATGATGAACATTTTAGCTTCCAAATTAGATGTCATTTATTTACTTATTTCATATTATACTGGCTTAAACATCCAGTACAATGTTAAATAAAAGTGATTAGATGGACATCCCTGCCTTGTTCCTAATATTAGGGAAAAACATTAGGTTTTTCTTACACACACACACACATATGAACATACATATCCCTACATAGACATGTGTGAATTTATATACACACTTTCTTTTAGGTAAAGAAATGAAATTTTCTGGAGAAGAGAGTACCAGGCTTTCATTTTGGTAAGTTATACATCCTAATGCGATTTAGAAATATAAGATTAAATAGACTAAATCTCATCATCTGAAACCACCTTTGAGTATATTTTTACTACATGAAAATGAGAAAGTGGGGTGTAGAGGAATGCTGGTAGTTTGTGCCTCAGAACCCCTGAAATTATGAAATTATGCCCTGTGTGAGGAACTTGGGCTGCATTTGAACAACTAGAAAGTTCTTCTTAAATTGCTTCAAATTGATTATGACTTGAATATTCTAAAATAATAGTGGTCATCATAGGGAAGAAACTTCCATATGGGAGAAGAAGGTAGAACTATGGGTGGAAAGCTGCACCGTTTGTTAAAGTTCTCACACAGCATTTTGTATGCTGTCCACTCAGCCACGTTGTCACCCCACATGGAGATCTACCGGATTAGAAAGCAAGCAATTTAGACCTGAAGTCTCCCAGGCTCGTCATTCTACCTCCTGCCCCTACACGTACACACCCCGACTCCCCAACACACACTTTCCTGGGGAGAAAGGCACCGGCCGAGAAGCTCAGCTGGACTCATTCCATAGGTCGTCTGATCAGGGGATAAGCAAGAAATTTGGTCACCCTGATTTCAAGTTCTTATCCTGAAGGACGAATCCTTTCCCAAAGCTGCTCAATATTTAGTTTTATAAATATTCACTGGGCAGAAAAACGACAAGGCTTTATCTGACATCAGCCAAATCAAAGTTTCTACTGAGGGGGCATCAGTAGCTAAAGTGGAATTGAAAAATATACCCGATGGTAGTTACTGTTGATGGTGATGCCTCTTAACAGCAGCCATTGCCAAGGAAATTAAAAGGCATCGATTCTTAGTTAAACACTGACTGCTGCTGTATTCTTTTTTTTTTTTTTTTGGTACAAATTTAAGGGTTACAAGCACAATTTTGTTACATGGATATATACATAGTGGTGGTGTCTGGGCATTTAGTGCATCCGGCACTCAAATAATGTACATTGTATCTGTTAAGTAATTTCTCATCACCCACTTCCCTTCCACCTCCCACCCACCCTCCGAGTCACCAATGTCTGTCATTCCACACTCCATGTCCATGTGTACACATTTTTTAGCTTCCAAACTGGATGTCATTTATTTATCTCCCACTTGTGAGAACAGGCAGTATTTGATTTTCTGTTTCTGAGCTGTTTCACTTGAATTTTATGACTGTTTTCTCTAATTCTGTGAAAACCAATACTGATGTTTTGATAGGGATTGCGTTCAATCTGTAGATTGCTTGGGTTGGTATCATCATTTTAATAATAATTCTTCTGATCCGTGAGCATGGAATGTTTTTCTGTTTGTTTGTGTAATCTACAGTTTCATTCATCTGTGTTTTATACTATGTAAGATGAACCATTAACTAGTGAATTACTTCAAGATATATTAGATATACTTAATAATTTCATATTTTAGTTAGCATTTGTATTTAGTTTCTTGCTATATTAATTACTTAATTCACAACAGAAAAGGGGTAAAATGTTACCTCTCTGGAAGTCTCTCTATTGAGGTAGAGAAGGAACCCTACTTCAGATCACTCAATATCAGAAGACAGTGTTAATCTAAAACCAATACCCACATACAAAACATCCTGTATAATATGTATGCAAATAAATTATAACCTTGAATTAACACTGCACTTTAAATGAATTTTTATACGTATGCATTGTTAATTGTTAGAATGTAAATGGTTACAAGAATTCGTAATTATTTGAACGGTGCATAATTTTTGCAAAAACATAATTATCTATAAGAAGACAGAAGAAAATAAGCTTGATCCTCTTAAAAGTATATCTTATTTGTGGCATAAATTTGTAGATGACCATTCAATACTGTCCTCTAAAATAATGTTAAAATCATAAAGCGAGAAACACAATTTTGCTTTAAGTGTAAGCAATTTAGTAATTTTATTATATAAAACTAATACGTTATTTTTCTTTTTCAGATACTGGTGCATAAATCAGTTAAATCTACAAACTCTTTCTTTCTTTCCTGAAAACTGTTTCATTCTGTTAAATTAAAACTATTAGTCTCACCTCATTGATTGGTTTGTGATAGTTTTTCATAGGACTTAATTTATATTGAAGTAAT